AAAAAGTATCAGCTTTTCGTCTAGACCTGGTCGGGGCAATTCTTCAGTGGAATCAGTGGGAGTATTCAGATCTCACTCACTAAGCACGACAATATCTGCAAGAAAAGCAGTAAAAAAGGCATTGAAATGGTGAAAAAATAGTTTTAAATTCAAACAATTTCAATTCATTGGTGGTAAAATATTCCAACAGATTTATAAGTTGATTTCATATGTTACTCCAATTTCTGTAAATATTAATAGATCCATGATTTGATGTAAATTATAACATTGATTTGGCAGTCGTTGCCATTCGAGAACTTAATAAAATGAAATTGTACAGAAATCTTATGAATCTTTGATTGATCATCGATGCAACTCATAATGCTGTGTAGACTTGATATTTTGGTTTTTGGTTGTGAGCTATTGCTAAACATAATAAACCATAATTGAAAGTTGACTTTGTTCAGCATTTGGATTAAAACCTTTTTTAGTAATTTAATGATTGAAAACGGACATTTGAGGGATGTTGGTGGATCGCTTAATGAGCTCTTTATTACTCGATTATCTCTTAGTGTTGGTGAAAGGTTTCTGTAGTTGATCTTAATAAAAGAGTGTCATTCGACATTTATCAAGCTCAGTTTCTCATGATATTTGATGGCTCTGAAAAGCAACGTTTCTCTATCCTGGTTCGAGGGAAAAATTCAAATGACCAAACAGTTTTATTTCAAGGTTTTCTAATCTTTGTCTATTGACACTTCCCTCGTTAGATTCAATGCTACCAAAGGCTGCTATAGAAGGATGACATTTAAATTTACAAACAAATCGCAGTCTCTTCTTCACTCTTTGGTCAAACAGTTTTATTTAGAGGTTTTCTAATCTTGTCTAATGTCTAATGTTTAATTATGGGCTCAAGAAACCTTCAACTCTAAATTGTCTTCAAAAAGTTCTTGGAGTTACACATACAAGGTTTTGAACATATAGGGGACCCAATTTCAAACTTCGTAAAACCTTTCTACTGGCCGTTTCTGATTCAGGTTGAGAAGATGGATTTTTGCTGGACCCAGCAATGATTGTGTTAATATTAGGCTGGGCGGCAGTAGCTTTGTTTGGTATTGTTGTTGTTGCTATTTTTGTGATCTTTCTGGTTATTATTAACATTCCTTCCCATCAACCAACAATCTTACCCAGATTGGGTGAAACTACTAGAACTTTCAGATCTAGACTTTCAGATTATCTGGGCTTCACTTTGGGTGCTTCATTTAGATCCAAGACATAAACAGAACTTTTGCACGACTAACAAAAAGAAAGAAGTTGAAAGCAAATGAAAAATAAAATAAACAACATGTTGTGTGATATTAAAGTTGCGTTGATTGCAATCTGGACATTCATTGTAAATTCATTGCGATTTTTCGCTCGAGACAGATCACAATTGCAAAACCTTATAAGACTTGAAAACTCATAGCAATAAGATGTTTTATGATTTGTTTATGTTTTGATCACACTCTTTCATAACGACACATTTGTTACAAATATGACAAAATGATCAGTTAAACCTTCGTGTTAAGAGTTGAACTCGCCTGCATCCGGGCAAACTGCGTGTTGACCAGAGAGTAAAGAAGAAGAGACTGTGATTTTGGTTTCAATGAAAGTTTAATTTATTGCTGCTCAAAGCATAATATGACAACTTGCGAGTTACTAAAAAGCCACTCAGCCAAATTTGCCTCAGATGCAATACAAATTCAATGCAAGTTCAATGTATTGCTGGTTAAAGCATAATATGACAACTTGTGTGCCAGTTAAAAAGCTACTCCGCCATATTTGGCTATGCTTAAGTATTATTACATTTGAAATTAATCGCAGTCTCTTTTTTACTTTTTTGTCACGACATTTTTCGACAGCACTTGAACCTGAAGACTTTTCTTATTACAATTTTGTATCAAGAAGTAAACCAATTTGAGCATAATTACAATTAATCGTATCCATACATCAATCTTTCTGGTTTACCAAAAATTCAAGGATTATTAAGCTTTTGCATTGTTAAATGCTAAAATTTGATGTATTTTGATAAATTTATATTTCTTCGAGTTAATATGATCACTTTGTTTTACCGCAATACTTTGCTTTTCATATTTTTAGTCAAAATGACAGTTTCATCCAAATACTTCAAACAATATCGCTTGGCAAGCCACAAAGTTAATCATCAAGTCTTTCCAAGTGAGACCATCGATGGAAGCTATACAGTTTATGTTGCAGGTAAAGTGTTTACCATAAAAGTGCCTGCGAATGTTGAAGACGATCCATACAAAATTGTAAACTGGAAAGTAATGAACTCCAATCCAAATCGACTCATGTATATATCTGATGGTTCAGCTTACATATTGATTGATCAAGAAACCAAGAAAAAACTGACCTTTCCGTATGAAAATATTGGTTCAATAATAGTCTTAGGAAGTAATGAAGCTCTTCACATGCCAAAAATTCTTTATCGTCGTAATGTTGAACCAATAATTCCCTGGAACTATTTTGAATTGTTGCATTTCGATGAAAAGAAGGAAACAATCAAGATCATCGAGTCAATTCCATGGTTAAATAATTTTGACTGGTATTACATACATGAGTGGAAGATGCTCGATTATGCATTCATTGAATCTAAATTGTATGTAGTTTCAAGTCGTAAAGTGTTTAGTCATACACCAATTAATGATGATGAAGAGCCAAATCTCAGGGCTGAAATGTTTATAACTCGATTTTCTCTTGATGTTGACAAAAACCTTTTATCAACCGCAATCGAGCTTCACAAAAGACTTAGATTTGGATATCGAATCGCTCAGTTTGTAAATACGTTCCAATTAAATGACGATAATAACAGGCGTTTCTCCCTTTTTATCTTACACACCACTAAAGACGAAACATATTTCACGCGTGCCTTTCTTCCCAAACTTAATCATCTCTTCGAGACTGTTGAAAGTTGTGCAAAAGCTGGTAATTGTATCTCAATATACCAACATTTTTTTAACAAAATTTGTCTCAAACCAACTTGTCCAGCCTATCCCACTAGTGAGCTTACCTTTGTAGAAACAGAAGTAAAAAATGTTTCCATTGTTAGTAATTTTCGGAGTTACATTGGTGGTTATCCTGATGCTTATTATTGGCTGATATACTTTGATCAACATGAATTGTTCGGCTGTGACTTCGCAAATTGGTTAGACTTGAATTGCTTCCCAATTCAATCATTTCCAGGAATCAATTTTAAAACCGATTTAGTTTTAGATGTTATTAGTGGTAAAACCTTTTACTTTCCCAACTCTACTCAACTTTACCAGACACTTCCATATGTTTCAGATAAATATCCTTGCTCAAGATTTCTCAATTGTCTCGACTGTATCATGTTTGGGTTCAGTGTTGGATGCATATGGATAGCTCCTGTTTGTGAACAGCGTTCAACTGACCAAGTTTATAGCTATAAAGAGTTTACTGTTAATTTTTGTCTGGAAATTGTCGCCTTTTCCCTTGAACCTTACAAGGAATTATCCAAAAAGCTGTTGGAAATTGAATTTAATGCCGTTTTCTCGAAACGTCAAATCAAACAGATTTCGGTTTTTGTTGGACCCGACAATGAGTGTATTGAAACTGAAAGAGAGACTCACAAGTTGACTTGTTTATTGAGCTACAACTCTCCCGGTAAATTTCCCATTGAAGTGAAATTTTCCAATGATGATTATTTAGATACAACTCCAATCATTGTCACGTCAAGTGATACTATTTTGATTGAAAATGAAACTACAAGTTTATGGATCAAATTTGCTTTTGTTGCATTTTTTGTCGTCATTGTTTTTATTTTAACAACCATTTTAATTCTGCTGTACTCGAAGCAACCGGAAATGTCGAGGATGCTCAGTGAAAGAAGTAAAAGCTTTACCTCTAAACCTGGTCGGACCCCTTCTTCAGTGGAATCAGTATTTTTGTCTGACTCAGTAAGCACGACAATATCTGCAAGAAAAGCAGTATTCAAAAATGTTAAAGTGGTAAAAAATAGTTTTAAAATTAAACAATTTCAATTCATTGGTGGTAAAAGATTCAAAAGATTTATAAATTGATTTCATATGTAACTTCAATTTCTATAAATATACCGAGCATTTGATGTAAATTTTAGCATTCATTTGGCAATCGTTGCCATTCGAGAAATTAATAAGTGATAATTTAACATTAACTATTATTAAAATACAATTGTACAGAAATATGTATCTTTGATTGATTTAATTCATAATGCTAAGTAGACTTGATATTTGGTTTTCTGGTTGTGGGAGCAAAGCTATTGCTAAACATAATAAAACATAATAAAAGTTGATTTTGTTCAGGATTTCACCTAATTCAAACCTTTTTTAGTAATTTAATGATTAAAACCTTCATTGGAGTTTGCTAAAATTAAAATTAATTTGATTTGCTAAGCTTTATTGAAATTATTAACCTTTAGGTGTTGACTGGTTGGTACATAGTTTTCCGTTGATTTTTTGGTTCAACTGTTACTGAATCTCATTGTTCAGGAAAAAAAGCTTGATTAATGATCCATTTGTTCAATGTTGTTGGTCTAAAATGTGATGATTTAGTGATTAAAGATTATTGGGAAAATATGACTTTCAAATTTCTGTGGAAATTAAGGAGGTGCAAGTGATTTATAAATTGTTGCACTGAAACTTAGACCCTTGCAAATGTAATAGCAACAATCGTGATTTCTAATTATAATAATTCTAGCTAATTTTGACAAAGTCTATGAATTAATTGATGTGATAAGATAAGTGCTAACTGATTTGTTCATAATATTGCGTTTATTTTGCTACTTAACTGTTGCTCGATGATTTGTAGACTTAAGGGGCGTAAATGTAATATCAATAATATTGATTAAATCCTTGTCAGGATTGAAATCACACCGATTTCCAGTGAAAACATGATTTTGCCATAAACAAAGTCTCATTTATTTGCTATTTATTCACAATAAAGCTCATTAGTCCAACTGCTTTTCATTTCATTTGTTTTTACCATCAAATCTGTTGCCTTTTCAATTGTGCAAAATGAATTTTCTAGTTTTAATTGTTTGTCTGTTTATCAACTTCTCGGATGGATCTGTGATCAATTGTGAAAATGGATGCTTGGACAGGCCAATAATGCTCAGTCAAAAGGCTACATTTCAAGCTAGCGCTTATACATTAATAGCTGAGCCTAAACGCAACGGAACTCAACTTACTCTTAAAAGAAGTGATACTAAAGCAGCGTTAGTTAATGTATATCTTAATGACACGAGAACTTCAACTACCCTAACTGGTCAATGTAACTTCGCAGCTTCAACGTTTTATGAATTCCTTACTTTAGGCAAAGGAAAACCAATACTCATAACGTCTCAGCTGGATAGAAAGACCATCAGCATCGAAAAGAAAAAATGTTCATGGATGTTGCCTTTAAATGTGACTATTCCAGGAGTAAAGAAACCATACGCAACAAGAAACTCGACTTATTGGTTGCAAGTTGTCGCCGATAATCAAGTTGTCATAGAAAACAAACGCTACCGACTATCATTTTCACCATCAACAGTTTCAAATCTCCTGACAACTGTTTGTTTGATTGTATTAAGTTGGGTAATCAGTTGAGTATTTCATGATTCTTCTATGGAATTTGGTTGATACATTGAAATTTCATTGTTGACATTATTATCAAGAATGATAAAAAAATAAGCAAATGTTATTGGTTTTTCCGATTTTAAAGAATAAATGATTTATTTTTAAATGCTTTAAATTATTTCCAAGTCTTTATAACAAAACTTATATCAAATTTTCAATTTGATGATACACAGAAAAAATATTTGAAAAATTAATAATGTTACAAACAAATAAAATACAATAAACTATGTACTATAAAAAGACAAATCATGAAACGAGATTTGCTTCTTTGGCTAATGAATAGAAAATAGAATCTTTTTTATCCAATAAAGCTTCAGGTGTATCAAATTCAGCAACTTTTCCTTTATCAAGAACCAAAACTCTATCAGAATCCATTATTGTATTCAATCGATGGGCAATCGTTAAAATTGTACAATCTTTGAATTCACTACGAATTGTTTTTTGAATCAGTGAATCAGTTTCCAAATCAATTGCAGCAGTAGCTTCATCGAGAACTATCAATCAAAAGAAAACAAAAAATATGGGAATTGAATATTGAATCAAAGACTTTGAATATGTATAAAATAAGACGAAATACTTACATAAAATTTTTGGTTTTTTAAGTAAAGCTCTTGCTAAGCATAAAAGCTGCCTTTGACCAACACTTAAATTTTTACCTTCTTCAGCAATTGAATAATTAAGACCTTCACCGGTATTTGATACAAAATCTTTTAGATGTGCATGAGTCAGAGCATCCCAAATTTCATTATCAGAATAAATATTAAATGGATCAAGATTAAATCTCAATGTACCACCAAAAAGAACTGGATCTTGAGGTATAATTGCTAGACGAGATCTCAAAGGGTGTAAAGGTAAATCACTGATATTGTATTGATCAATAAAAATATTTCCTCCAGCAGGTTCAATTAATCTGAATAATGATAATGTAACTGTTGATTTACCAGCACCAGTTCTACCAACGATTCCAATCTTTTCCTTTGATTTAATATCTGCTGTTATACCTTTTAAAACCAATTCAGTTCCTTCTCTATAACGAGTCTCGTAATTATTGAATTTAATAGATCCTTTTTCAGGCCAACGCTCATCTGGTTTAACCTTAGCTACAAACCAATCAGCTTCACTTTGTATCTTACAGTATTCCAATATTCTTTCAACAGCAACAATATTAGTTTCTAACTCGGACGTCATTCGAACTAGCCAGTTGAATTCCCCAGTCATGCTAAGAGCATATGAAACAGAAAGTCCAACAGCACCGGGATCCAAATATTTGCGAGCCAGAACAGCAAATATAGCGCTACACAGTATAATCAAATTACCGCATGTTTCCAGCCTAACGCTAAGCCATCGATTTGCAATTACACTTGGATATAGACAAGAAATATTGAAATCGACCTTTTTAGCTGACTCTTGCATAAATCGATCAGTTACACCAAAAGCTTTTATTGTATCGACTCCATTCAAAGTTTCGCCAAAATGTGAATAAATGGGTGATCTGGTAACAGATTCAAGACGTTTAAGTTGACGAGATGAAGCGACAAAGATTCTTTGGATAAATGAGTAAATCAGGATGATTGGAATGAGCGCAATGATGAATGCTGGTGTGTTCATGGATATAATTATAAATGCTGCCAAAACTTGAAATAAACATAAGAACAAATAGCTGAAAAGAAATGAAAATCAATAAAAAATTAAAATAAATTAAACTAAATGTATATTGAACATTTAAGTTAATTAAGATCGTTCAACCGTTAATCAATTTTTGACCAGTGATTATGACTAAGTAGTTAATTTACAATCTAATAATCGAAAATGTTCAATATGATGTATTGAAAATGATTGGAAATTACTTAATAACTTGAGGTATAGCAGTATCAATGGAATCGATATCCTTAGAAAATCTATTCAAAATCCGGCCGATTGGATTTGTATCAAAGAAGGACATTGGAGCTCGGAAAATATGATATAACAATTTACGATGAAAGCCTGCTGATGCTCTTATTGTTCCAGTAACGAGAGCCCAAGTGCCAATAAAGGTAGAAACACCTGTTGAGTTCAAAAGAAATGAATAAATAAGACAAATCAAATAATGCTTAAAATTGATTAACTGTTTGAGTCGAACCTTTGAAAAGACCGAGAGCACAATAAACCCCAATCCTCATTTTGGGGTTGGGCGATGTAGAGTTCATTTTCAACGAATCACTCGACCACTCTGATAACCATATATCGGATCCCATAGTTAGACCTTGAGAAATCCCTTGAGCAATGATTATGACAGCAGACCAAAACAGAGAAACCATTTCAAAGTACTGCAGATATATTGACCATTTGACTTTACCAGTTTCCGACGTTTCAGTTTCAATCAATTTATTCAATTCACCGTCTTTTTCTTCTTTGACAGACTTTGATATTTCTAGACTTTTTTTCTCAGAAAATTCATTTGTTGATACTTCAACTTCTTCTGGTTCACCAGCACGATTTGTGAATTGTTCAACTAATTCAGAGAAGGCACCTCGTGTGTCCATCAACTCTTTGAATGTACCAGTTTCACTTATTTTACCATTGATAAGAACATAAATACTATCAACTTTGGATAAAATATCCAATTTGTTTGTGACTAGAACTCGTGTTTTATTCCGAAGAAGTCCACTTTTTGAACTAAGTACATTTTTAAATATATGTTTAGCCACATGAGCATCAACGGCACTCAATGGATCATCTAATATGTACAGATCAGAATCACTGTAACACGCTCTTGCTAAACTAACTCTTTGCTTTTGGCCACCTGAAAGGTTGATACCTTTTTCACCAATTTCAGTTTCATCACCTCCAGGTAAATAAGCTAAATCTGGTCCAAGAGCACAAGCTGCTATTACTTTATCATATTTAGTTTTATTGAAAGGTTTACCAAATAAAATATTATCTCGTAGTGTTGCATTTTGTATCCAAGCTTGTTGAGCGACATATGCTATCCTTAGTTTACCATTAATATTGATTCGACCTTTGACTTTTTCCATTTCACCCAGAATTGCACTTAATAATGAACTCTTTCCTGAACCAACAGATCCAATGATTGCCACAAATGAACCTACTTTAACGCTCATATTGATATTTTGTAATGCTGGTTCATCATTGAGCAAATTAGAGGAAACATCCTTTGGTTCATTCTCGGTAATTTCAGGTTTGCGAGTTGTCTTTGATTTCTTTTTTTCGTTTTCTTCCGTCTTTTTATTCCACTTGAAATAAGCATTGTCGATTGAAATGGCGTCAATTTCGTCGTTTCTAGTTACATACTGATCCAGATCACCATAACTAAGAAATTTGTTGATTCGCCTCACAGATACTGAAGCCTGTCAAGGTAATTAGAACAGTAAATATTAGTAATAACCAGATTAGCGCATTAACTGTATTAAAAAGCAAACAAATTTATCATAATTACCATAATATACATAGATAACAACTCTGGAAGCATCGAGATTGGAAATTGAAGGATATGAAACAATGATAACGAAACAAAAGCCTTCGAAGCTGTGAGTGTTTCACCTTGAACCAAGACATAAGCAGAAAATGTGGCGACAGACACCAATGTAGGAGAGCAAATCCATAAAAATGATGTAGCGCACTCGAGATATGATAATTTCTTCAAGGAGACCAGTTCTTTATGCCGCAAACCATTGACATGGTGCAAAAATGATTCCTCCCAAGCATAAAACTTCAAAATCTTCATGCCACTGAGAACTTCATTCATAAATTTAACTCTTTCGTCCTTTTGTTTCATAAATTTAACCTGAAAGTCTTGACTCCATTTAACAACAACACCGTTCAATGGAATCATGATGACCATTGCAGCTAAGCCAAAAAATGAAGAATAACCCAATTCTTGGTAAAGAAAATAAATGGCGATCAAAATTTGCAAAGGCGCAGACCAGATCAGGTTGATATAAGGCATTAAGTCCAAGAATCTTTTGGCATCGACAGCCATCAAGTTGACAACTTCACCAGTGGTGACATCTTTTCGCGCTTTATCTCCGAGATTGATGGACTTTTTGTAAATAGCGGCAGTTAAAGCTGAACTAATCTTCATTCCAGTAATGTACATCCGATTGAAATAGTGATTGACGAAAATGGTTTGGGTAAAGGTTACGACTGACATCGCGAAAGCAATCAAAAATCCATGCCAAACTGGTTCCTCTGAATGATTTTTGATGAATTCAATGAGATATCTAGAGATTGAAATAAAATGGATTAGCAAACAATTTGAAATGGAAAAGATTTGTTGACAATTGAAGTTGATTGACTTACCCCAACAATTTTGGTATAATAAATTGAAGGATATCTTGACAAAGCTTGAAAAAAGCTCCGGCTATGAAATAACTTCCAAAGGTTTTGGCCAAAATCGGTAAAATATTTACTCTTTTAGGTTCATTTGGACCTTCCGATGATTTATTTGGCTTTTGAACAGACTTTTTCATTTTACTCTCAAAAGTTCTGCTGATATTTTCAGTTTTTAAATCATCTTGAAGACTCCAAAGATCTTGAGTTGTTAGAGACTTTTTCCATCCTAGTAAAGCCATTTTGTCAAACCATGAAAAGACGAGGTAGCTGAGGAAAGATGACTCATTTTCTGGACTAATTGGACGGTTGTCATCTTGTTTTGGAGAAATTTTCAATTCAAAATCTTCTAGTTGCTCAACTGGACCATCAGCAAATGAAACGATAATCAACAGAAGGGCAATCAATGCAAAGTAAATATTGAAAAGGCCACATTCAATGAAGGAATACTCTGAAGAGTCGACCCAAGTTTGGTAACTAATGAGAAAGGCGCCGACTGTTTGGAGGAGCATATAAATCCATACCACAGCACTTGTGTGAACCCCGCGAACGCGATGGTAATATAAGAAAAGGCTAACTAAAGTCTGAAAAGAAACAAAAAAATATGGTAAACAATATTAGTAAAGAGCAATTGATTTTCATTTTATCAACCACCATTAGAGTAAATGGATTCACTAAAAGTGCAATCCAGTTTAAACATATGGCTATACATTCATAATACATAGTAAACCTTTAGTAATCACTAATAAACACGCTTTTACTATCTGATTATGAGATTATCACATAAAAGTGTATTTATTAAAAGGCATCATATTAAAAATAGAACGAGATCGAGATTAAGAAGTGCTTATACTCTTTGTGACTAAACACATTCAGAAAATCTTGATTCATAAATAAATTGTTGAGGCATCACATTATATTTTTAAGCCAACAACCCTCAGCACTGTGGCCTATTTTTTTACAATTAGCGCACTGTTGCTTGAGCTTTTCTTTGTGTCTTTTTGGACTGCACTCGTTATAACTGGATGGTGGTGAATTTGAGCTACTCGACTGGCATGGTTCCTCGTCTTTTTCCGAGATGCGCGGCGTTACTTCAAGTACTTCAATAATTTTATCTTCGATGGCGCCAAGATCAGTGTAATTGACGCCTTTTACTATCTCTTCGCAAACGCTGCTAGGAATCGTAAGCATTAGTATTATTCCAACAGCTACAGGGTTTTCCTCGATATCAGGACACAAGATTTTAATAGTTTCCTTAACCATGTCAATGTGTTGGGTGATGTCACCATTTAAATCAAACTGCGAGTTTCTAAGTTTCGTGAAGGCTTGTAAGATATCTTCGTTGGTTATAATTTGATTCACAAGTTTCGTTTTGAACTCTTCATATTTTATTTTTGGGTTTTCACTAATTATTTCTTCAGCCTTTTTTTTCGCATCTCCAACCAATGATCCACTGAGATAATTGACCCAATCTGTCCTTGAAGGGTCAGCCATTTCCATGTGGAATTCAAGTGCTTGCAAATATTCATGAAATGATATTACTCTTTCGATTTTCTTTTCGTTTGGCCATCTCGCTGAAAGAACTTTCCTTTTAGATGCCAAGCTTCGTTTCCTTATTAAAGAATTTTCACTTTCGATTAATGATTTATCCAAATTGATCACATTTTCTGTTATACCATAAGTGTTGGTAATTATAGCTGCTTGGATGACTGGAATACCGGCTTTTACCAGTGTTTCTTTGTCCAATAATTTGATTTGCTCTGGAGATCGAATTCCATTTTCAATGAGTTTCATCAATGTATCCTCTGTGATGCCAGCTTCTCTTAGAGACACAGCCATACGCCATGGGTCTTTAAAAAATTGGACTTGAGAATCAGCTTGTAGAGTCTTGTTGGACAATCCTTCGTATGCTAGTTGAGTCGTATGTGCATGAATCACTTTGTTTCGAAGAGGTTCAGTTCGATAAGTTTCTGGATTATGGATTCCCATTGTTAAGGCATGTTCTAATAATTTATCTCTTTTTAAAAAATTATAAGTTTTCATCTTGATATAATTGTTGAGGTTAAATATTGGACTTGTACATTCATCAGCATCTTCGCTCTCCATATTTATTTGGTTCATCAACTATTGATTCCAAAATAACTCGGCAATAGACACTCGGAACTGAAGGTTGAACTGACTTAAAACATAAAGACTAACTAAATGAGTGAAGTGTTAGAGATGACAGGAAAATACTTAATGATGAAAATCTAATTTTGAAAAGTATATTTACACAAGTCTTTACATATGACATCACTTAAACTAGCCAATGATCAATAGATGAGATAGGAAAGGAATGACTATCCATAACATTATTGATAGCCTATCCCTAACAGTTCTTTGAATGGCTAAAAACACGCTTGCAATTTTTACTCATGAATGTCCTTTTTTAATATAAAACTCTAGACAATAAACACTTTTATTGTCAATTGTCCATTTTTATGTTTGATTGGATTCATTGCATTTTCGAGTGGCAAGCAGACAAGATGATAATGTGTAATTAGTTACATGTGTACATGATGAACGTGAACTTGGCATTACAGGAATTATGACTTAATTGTAGGAATTGTTTCTTATTGTTAACTAATAAAAGAATATAAATGAGCTGAAATCTTTACGAATCTCTGATAAGAATCTCATAAATAAAGTTATGAATTGATTAAAAGTAAGATACTTTTGGTACACAAAATTTACACTAATAATCTCAATTAAACAAACTTGAAGAGTTATAATTATTATATGATAATCAACATCAAATCTTAATCGAGTGTGTTGTTATGCTTCTTGAAATAATACAATAAAACTGCAATTTACAATCATGCAATATACAGTCAATATTGCTATAGAAGAGTCAAGATGTTGGATAACAACTGCACTGGACTTGTTAGATGAGTACTCTGTAGCATCTTAAGAGCTTTAACCTTCACAAGAAATAACAAATTATCTCAACTTACGAAAGAGGCAATGTTAAGTAATGGTGCATAAAAATCAGACGGAGCCGGTTGTTCGGATGATTTGAAGTAACGATGGATGATGTTGACTAACTGGAAAGCATTAATAAGTAAACATGAAATTGATAAAATTAAACGAGAGCGGTTTTGCAAATTCCAAGGAATTGGCTTCTTTTTTATCCTAGCAGTTCTTGTCAGTTCGTAAACTGAGAATAGCCATAAAAATGTTGTGGGTAACCAGTTAAGTATTGTTTGATGGAAACAGCGGGTCAATTTGGGTACTGTCGAGTTCCATGATAAATTGTAGTCCTGTAGAGTTGTCCAATCATGACCATTTTGTAAAGATGATTTACATAGAAAGAAAAAAAGAAACATGTAATTTGAATACTGGAATATAAAATTACAGATGTACGAAAGGAATAACATGAAATTCTTGGACATTTGCCCGTTTAGTAATTGAATAAATTTGCACCGATGCAATAAAAATTACAAGGTTGTGTTTATATAAATAGTCAAGTGTCAATATCGAGACTAGATCAGGTTCTGTTCAGTTCTTCTGATCATCAGAAGAATTGATTTTCTCAATGAATATCGATTATTGGTTGAGCATAAGAACCGAGAAATGGAAAAGATGAGTAAATTTCAAGATCAATTCCAAGAAATTGATCAAACAAGTTAATCATGAAGTGATTTTTATATCAATTAAATGTAAAAATCAATTTGGACTTACCCAAAAAGGTGAATCTCCACAGAGAACTTCTAGGTTGACCTGATGATCCATGATGGAATTGACTATAGCTAAATATCTTGGAAATTAAATTTATTATTGAATTTTTAACTCAAATGTCGTACTCGTGAAAGAGTAACGAAGACTACATCTAGAACAAGTTTTATACACAACTGTTATAAAATCGAAGAATGCTTCTTTACTCTTTGATTACAACTGTTACTGTTAGCAACCTATTACTCTTGCTCAGGATCAGTAATGATATAGATACTCAATCTTGATCTAGTATTTCGCGATATTAAAAGAATCGGTATCAACCATAAAGATATCGAGTATTTAATTAGAGCATTAATTAGGAGCAGCAGACAATTAAAGCATAGGTCTGTGCCGCGTTTTGCTTTCAGAGTCTCTAGTAACATCTGAAAGCTCAATTTTTTCTCAATTCTGTAATTCTTTGCCTGGTAATTTCATCAAATTATACGTTTTTTGTTATCGAGTACTTAAAGTATCGAGTATTACCAACAGGCAAAGTATCGATAATTTGGCTGAGTAAAAAACACTGGGAAACACTCACTTGATATTGAAGAGCAATATGATCCTCTTAAGGATAGTCTGTCAATTCAACTTGTATTGCTGAACATTTTAGTTGAAGCTTGAAACTTGGATCGACAGTTGTTCAGCAGTAACTTGAAAGTACCTTATGTTCAGAGAATGCTAATCACTGGACAAAAAATGTAAGTTTAATTGAAATGATTAAGACAATTATAACTAATGAATGGAAAAATGAAAATTATCATTCATAAGAAGTGGCATCAATGCAGCCTGGCGCGTTTAATTTACTAATTGTAAATTAAACTCTGATTTTGATTTTTAGTTTTGCTGAATACATGTAATATCAATTAATGAGCAAAGATTTTATCGGGTCTCGATAAAAAATCAAAATAAGACCAAACCAATGTAAAGGGCAAAAATTGTTAGTTTGTAGCGAAATAAAAACTGAACCGATCGACAGTTAAAACTAAAGTTGAAACGCTGTTTGTACACTTATTGAACCAGATTTTTTCATCAAAATCATTTTCTGATGTAATTTTTGTGCTCCAAAAAATGTGTTTTTTCGCGAAATCAGATTTTCTGTTTTTGTATAACAAATCACTCGATTTTCGGTTAAACCACCACTCTCTGTGACAGTAAAAGTAAGGCAACCAACACTCATTTTTCATGAAAATCATGAGTAAACATAATGAGTCGGACATTTTTTCGATTATCCAATGATTTTCACCTTTGGTCTTAAAGCCATAAAGCAATAGCAATATTTCGAAAGTATTTCGATAACCAAAAATCGAGTGAACTGTTTCACAAAAAAGAAAATTTGATTTCGCGAAATTGCCTGCTTTGAAATCTAAAGTTACGCCAGGTAAATAAGTTTTATGAAAAAAATCTACACCATACAGGACTGGAGATAAAAATTTGAGCCAAATTGTAAATAATTTTTCTAGAAATTGGTTTAAGTTAGAAATTTAATTTATTTCAATTTGTCTTCCTTCATTAGTAATTAATTTGAAAAATCTCTTTTGCCATGAGGATAAGCATTTTTGGATAAGGCTTTGTGGAATTTCATTCCATATGGTTTTTATTGCATTTGTTAAGCCTTTTAATGTCTTAGCTTTTTTGCTTGCAAGTTTGTTTTTCATGTAACCCCAAATGCAATAATCCATCGGTGCGAGGTCAGGTGAGAAAGGAACCCATTTAGATGGGTGGATGAATGAAATTCCACTGGCCTTTAAAAATTCTAAGGTTTTTGCCGAAGCATGGCTTGGAGCGCTGTCCTGATGAAATATGCAATTTTTATCAGGGTAAAGACGAGGAATGTCATTTTCAATCATTGGTTTAAGTACATCATTGATATAACAATCAGAATTGATCTTGACTCCAGATCTGATAAACCGCAATTCCAATTTACCGTTGAACGAAATTGCACCCCAAACCATAACACTCTTGCTAAATCGAGATGGTTTTGTCATGTAATGCGTGGTTTTTTGACCTTTTCTTACATAATAATAGGGGTTTTCTTGATTAGCATCACTCAGGTGAAATAAACACTCATCGCTGGTTATAATTCTTTTCCAATTTTCGTTACCTAAAAAACGATACATCCAATTAGCACGCTTGCGTCGAACTTCAATTTGTTTGTCGGTCAACTTATGAACACGCCTTTTTGTTCGCTTTTTCAGGCCAAATTTACATAATAACGGATTGTAGATCGGGCAACTCCAAACTGCTTAGAAAGATGAGTAACTTTAGGTGGATTAGGTCTACTGAGCTTCCGTTTCAGTTTGTTCAAATCACTTAAATTCAACTTTTTCAAACGATTAGGGTTGATGGTCACTTTTTCCTTATTTTTTGGCACTTTTTTTGTATTAGATAAATCAGCATATCTATAACGTTTGATAGTAGCGAGGGAAATTTTAATATTCCGTTGTTTCAATTTTTTATGAATAACTGAAGCACTGAATCCCATGGCAAATAGAGTTTTTACTTCACTGACTAAATCTATCGATAACTTAAGTTTACCCATTGTGACTTAAACTTAAAATGCATTATGTAATTTTTCAAAGTTTAATCTTTAATTTACCTAAAAAAAGTTGACAAAAAGACTAGACATTAAGGCGCCATGACCAGACAAAGTTGGCGCAAACCTTTATCTCCAGTCCTGTAATTGAACAAAAGATTTTCAACAGGAAAAAAAAGTTTCAACTTTAACCTCGATTTTCTGAAGCTGTTCATCTAAGAAATTAGTACTAATGGTCTCAGTTTTCAGGTCCCCACGAAGTTCCTACTCTTAACTCGAAAGTCCCTCCTTTGTATTATATAACTGACAACCCTTCTTGACTAACAATTAAATATCGTGAAAGACCCTCAGGAAGACATTGAGTCTTATTTTTATCAACAAGATTGTTCTCTCATCATTTTAATGTCATTTTTTTTATCACACTAATTAATCTGGTTAATCACGATAAAATGATTTTCTCATCAAAAGGTGCATAACAAGTTTAAAAACAGGTATTAGTTATTAATAAATTTTCAATAAACCAAAATGGACCAAAATTCCTAATTCAAATTATAAAATTAAGCTAAAGTTGGTGCCATTTTTTATTGCTCACACATTGTCTGCCTAACTTAATGTAACCGAGAAAACTTTTTGCGCTTACTCTGAGAGTTGGTCAAGGCTGAGATCAAATTTTGCATCCTAATTGCATATGGAAATGCGTGAATTATTAATAATTGAATTAAAGCTAAATTTACCAAAATCAACCAAACAATTACCTGAAGATCACAGTTTGAATTTGGCCCTATTTCATATGATTAATCCTTACTAAACAGCATTTTCAAGGCAAAAAAGTCATCTCTGTCTCCCATCCAACAAGTATCTTGTAAGTATTATTAGAGATCTGATAAGGTGCGAAATTTCAGTGAATGTGTTAAAAGAAGGCGTTTTGAATTGAGCAAAAGATAGTCACTGGTACACAAGAACTAAAGCAATCAATAACATCAACAATACTCAGCAAGCAAATCAGATTTGTAATAAAAAGATGTCAATTTATGATACATTTATGATTATTTATGATATTAATAGTTTATCACTTTAGCATGGTTTGGTGCGGTTATTACGCACCCAACCTGGCATGCTCAAGATCGTTAGCAAAATCTATTTCTTGTGAAAGGTCAATTTTCGGATAAATCTTTCGTAATTATAAGTGTATACAACCTGCGTCTAGAAATTGTTTCGAGCAAGATTTAGTTATAATTCGATTTTTAGGAACTAAACAGATGAAAATTTCAACTTGCTGGGATTTTACTTTGCATTATGGTTGATACCGTATGCAAGTTTTGATCATTTCCGAAAAGTATTTCAGTGTTTATTAGCTCATTTATAATCCGCCTGGCTCAATATTTTTTCAAAAAAAGTTTAACTCTAAATGGACTTTCGATTCCAAAGTACTGTAATCACTCTGCAATTCCTGAAATCTGTCCGATTGAGATGTTTTGGTTAAACAAAAGTGTTGATTGAATAATTTACTGACATCTGAGTTATTGTACCTCGAAAGATGTTACTTATTACATACGAATATATTAATAAGTAAAAAATAATTTGATTGAATCCTCCAACAGGTCAGATAAAATAAAAGTTCATTCATATTCTTCAATGATTTCTCGAAATATTTCGCTATTATCTTTTTCTCTCAGTTCAAGCTCATTTATGGTAATTAAACTGGTCCAGTTTAGTATCGATTGCAGTTATCTTAAATAACTTTTTTCACCTTTAACGACCAAATTGGCCTCTTTCATAGAGATGCCTTTAAAAGAGTTTTTATTTGTGGCTCGTTTTTTCTAGCAAATCGTGCCTAATTGGCAACCCAACTGAATCGATTTGATTCGTGTAGATACCATTTGCTTTAAAGCTAAATGAGATCTGACTATTGGGTTTAAGTAAATTAATAATTTAATCACTATTTGTGAGGCATATATTTCTACGTTATTGATTTAAATAGGATGCTTAGTGATTGAAGAAATCTGATTATAAAATTTCCATTGAAATTAGGTGATTTATCAATTGTTATAATGATACTTAAACCCCTTGCTAATATGATTGCAATACTCTGATTTATAATTTTAATATATTTTTGAACTAGCTTATGAATTAATTGATAAGGTAAAGGTTAACTGCATTCCTCATGATTTTCATTCGTTAATTGTTTCATCATAATTATTTGCTTTTGCAACTAAACTGTTGCTCGATAATTTGTAAGCTAATAGGCGTAAATGGAATCATAAGATAATTCCGTGTCCGGTATGAAACCACACCAGTTTCAAAATGAATAACTTTATTTTACTATAAATAAAGTCAAATTAATTAGCTATTCATCCACAAAAAATCCCGCGTTTATTTGCTATAGTTCAACAAATAAAGCTCATTACTCCGACTACTTTTCATTTGATTTGTTTCCGTTATAAAATCTGTTTTCAATCGTGAAAAATGAATTTCCTAGTTTTAATTGTTTGTTTGTTTATCAACTTCTCGGATGGATCTGTGATCAATTGTGAAAATGGATGCTTGGACAGGCCAATAATGCTCAGTTCAAAGGGTATATTTAAATTCAAAATATATACATTGGTAACTGACCCCAAATTAAACGGAACTCAATTCACTTTGGAAAGAAGTGGTTCACAAGCAAGAATAGTTAATATCAATCTTAATGATACAAAAAGTTCGCTTACAATAGTTGGTCAATGTAATTTCGGTAATTCGTTGGTTGACGGTTTCATTATTTCAAATAAACAAAAATATCTATTAAGCCCTCCACTGGATAAAAAAAGCAAGAGCATCGGTAACGATAGATGTTCGTGGTTGTTACCTTTGAATGTAACAAACCCAATAACCAAGAATCAATACCCAACTAGAAACGCGACTTATTGGATGCAAGTAGTAGCTGATGGTGACGTTGTTTTGGAGGACAAAGATTTCAGTCTATCATTCACACCATCAACACTTAGAAATCTTCTGACGACTATATTTATGATCTTATTAAGTTGGGTCATCAGCTGAACATTTCATGCTTCTCTAATGGAGTGGAATTGGATTTTATTGACATTTCAACATTGCAAATGTACACTGAAATATTGTTGACATTGTTGCTAACAAAAAGATAAAACAAAATAAAATTGAAAATGTTATTGGTTTTCCGATTTTAAAGAATAAATGATTTATTTTTAAATGCTTTAAATTATGCCAGAGTCTTTATAACAAAACTTATACTATCAAATTTAATTGATACACAGAAAAAATATTTGAAAAATTAATATTGTTACAAACAAAAAAATACTATACAAAAACAAAATCACAAAACAAGATTTGCTTCTTTGGCTAATGAATAGAAAATTGAATCTTTTTTATCCAACAATGCTTCAGGTGTATCAAATTCAGCAACTTTTCCTTTATCAAGAACCAAAACTCTGTCAGAATCCATTATTGTATTTAATCGATGGGCAATCGTTAAAATTGTACAATCTTTGAATTCACTACGAATTGTTTTTTGAATCAGTGAATCAGTTTCCAAATCAATAGCAGCAGTAGCTTCATCGAGAACTATCAATCAAAAAAAATATTGAATTAGATATTGAATCAAATACTTTGAATATGTATAAAATAAGACGAAATACTTACATAAAATTTTTGGTTTTTTAAGCAAAGCTCTTGCTAAACATAAAAGTTGCCTTTGACCAACACTTAAATTTTTACCTTCTTCAGCAATTGAATAATCAAGACCTTCACCGGTATTTGATACAAAATCTTTTAGATGTGCATGAGATAGAGCATCCCATATTTCATTATCAGAATAAATATTAAATGGATCAAGATTAAATCTCAATTTACCACCAAAAAGAACTGGATCTTGAGGTATAATTGCTAGACGAGATCTCAAAGGATGCAGAGGTAAATCACTGATATTGTATTGATCAATAAAAATATTTCCTCCAGCTGGTTCAATTAATCTGAATAATGATAATGTAACTGTTGATTTACCGGCACCAGTTCTACCAACAATTCCAACTTTTTCCTTTGATTTAATATCTGCTGTTATACCTTTTAAAACCAATTCAGTTCCTTCTCTATAACGAGTCTCGTAATTATTAAATTTAATAGATCCTTTTTCAGGCCAAGAATCATCTGGTTTAACTTTAGCTTCATACCAATCAGCTTCACTTTGTATCTTACAGTATTCCAATATTCGTTCAACAGCAACAATATTAGTTTCTAACTCGGACGACATTCGAACCAGCCAATTCAATGTAGCTGTGATGCTCAAGGCATACGAAACAGAAAGACCGACTGTTCCACTATCAAGTTGTTTTCGTGAAAAGACAGCAAATAATGCAGCAAATAATAAAATCATGTTTCCACAGAATTCTAGTCTTATTCCTAGCCATCGATTTGCTATCGCGTTTGGATAATAACAGCATAGATTGTGGTCAACTTTATCTGCTGATTCTTGAATGAATCTATCGGAAACATCAAATGCTCTTATAGTACTAACTCCATTCAAAGTTTCTCCAAAATGTGAGTAAATCGGAGATCGAGTGACAGATTCAAGTCTCTTGAGTTGACGAGATGAGGCGACATAGATACGTTGAATAAATGCATAAACACAACAGATTGGAACGAGAGCAATGATGAAAAGAGGTGTACTGTATGAAATTATCACGAAAGTGGATAGCACTTGAAAGAAACACAATAACCAAGACCTGGAAGTAATGTAATTGAAGATACATTTAGATATATATATCAATCATATGAAAGTTAATTTGAGAAATAGATTATCTTAATCTGATTATTACCTTAGGTTTTGAGGAATAATTGAATCAACGGTATCAATATCTTTTGAAAACCTATTGACAATGCGCCCAGTTGGGGTTGTATCAAAAAATGACATTGGTGAACGAAAAATTTGATACAATAAGTCTCGATGAAAACCAACTGAAGCACGAATAGTACCAACAACGAGTAACCAAGAGCCAATAAAGGTAACAATACCTAAAATTAATAAAAAGAATATGAAATTAATCGTTCAAGAAAACTCGATATTAATAAATAACACGTTACCTTGTCCGAGACCAAGGGCTCCATAAACTTCGAGTCTCATTTTGGTGTGATCTAAGGTATAGTTAGCATTGTCCGAATCACTTGTCCAAGATGATAGCCAAACATTGGAGCCAAGTGAGAAACCATTTGAAGTGATTAAGGAAAGGATTATCATAATGAACCACAAGACGGAAACCATTTTGAAATATTCAAAATAAACTGCCCACCGGACTTTACCGGTTTCAGCTGTTTCAACTTCAATTAACTTTTTATTTTTGTTATCGACTGGAGCTGATGAAGTAGACTCTTTTAGACTTTCCTTTCTGTCTAAGGATTCATTAAACGATTCTTCAATTTCCTCTTGTTCAGCAGCACGATTTGTGAATTGTTCAACTAATTCTGAGAAATCACCTTTCGAATCCATCAGCTCTTTAAATGTACCAGTTTCACTTATTTTACCATTGGTAAGGACATAAATACTATCGACTTTGGATAAAATATCCAATTTGTTTGTGACTAGAACTCGTGTTTTATTCCGAAGAAGGCCACTTTTTGAACTAAGCACATTTTTAAATATATGTTTAGCCACATGAGCATCAACAGCACTCAATGGATCATCTAATATGTACAGATCAGAATCACTGTAACACGCTCTTGCTAAACTGACTCTTTGCTTTTGGCCACCTGAAAGGTTGATACCTTTCTCACCAATTTCAGTTTCATCACCTCCAGGTAAATAAGCTAAATCTGGCCCAAGAGCACAAGCTGCTATTACTTTATCATATTTAGTTTTATCGAAAGGTTTACCAAATAAAATGTTATCTCGTAGTGTTGCATTTTGTATCCAAGCTTGTTGAGCGACATATGCTATCCTTAGTTTACCATTAATATTGATTCGACCTTTGACTTTCTCCATCTCACCTAAAATGGCACTTAATAATGAACTCTTTCCTGAGCCGACTGAACCTACGATAGCCACGAATGAGCCGGTTTTAACTCTTATGTTGATCTTTTGTAATGTTGGTTCATCATTGAGTAATGCAGTAGATATTTCACCATTTTCGTTTACATCAACTTCGACCTTTCTTGATTTTTTGAATAAAAATCTACGCTTTGTCTTTGCTTCCTTTTTTTCTTCTATTTTCTTTCCCCATTTAAAGCAAGCGTCTTCAACTGAGATTGCATCAATCTCATCATTTCTTGTCACATAAGGATCAAGATCATCATAACTTAAAAAGTTGTTTATTCGCTTGATGGAAACTGATGCCTGATAATGAAAAAAAGATAAAAAAATTAAGATCAAGGTAATTGAATAATTAGACAGCAATAATAGTAAAATCTTAATCTCACCATGATATAAAATGTGATTAATTGAGGTAACATTGTCAGAGGAAATCTCAAAATATTGAATAAAGACAGCGAAACGAATGCTTTTTGAGCTGTCAACGTTTCACCCTGGATCAAAACGTAAGCCGCAAATGTAGTCACAGAAACCATTGTTGGAGCGCAGATCCAAAGAAATGATGATGCACATCCAAGATATGAAATATTTTTCAAATGTTGAAGTTCTTTGTTACGTAAACCAGTTACATGTTGTAAGAATGATTTTTCCCAAGCGTAAAACTTGATAATCTTGATTCCGCTTAAAATTTCGTTCATGAATTTAACTCTTTCATCTTTTTGTTTCATCAATTTGATTTGCATATTACGACTCACACTTGCGATGTATCCATTGAACGGAATCAATAAAATCATGACAAGTAATCCAAATAAAGCAGAATAGCCCAGCTCCAAGTAAAGAAAATAGATCGCCAAGACAATTTGCAATGGCGCTGACCAGATCAAGTTGATAAAGGGAATAAGATCTAAAAATCTTTTAGCATCGACAGCCATTAAGTTGACAATTTCACCAGATGTAACTTCTTTCTTTGCTTTATCACCGAGATTAAGAGATTTCTTGTAGATTGTCGCAGTGAGCGTTGAACTAACTTGCATTCCTGTCATAAACATTCGATAAAAGTAATGGTTCACGAAGATACTTTGGATTGTGGAGACTGCAAACATGGCGAATGCAATAGCGAATCCATGCCAAGCTGGCTCTTTTGGATTTTGAGTAAAATTGATCAGTGATCTGTAGAGAGAGTAGAAATATTAATTATTTGAAAAATTCATTTAAATAAGGAAATGGAAACTAACTTTAGCAATTGCGGAGTCACAAATTGACAAATATCTTGTATTAACTTGAAAAAGGAGCCAACAATGAAGTAAGAACCAAAGATTCTCGCGAAAATTGGTATGAAATTAACTTTCTTGACTTTAACAGCCTCATCGGTTGGAGATTTATCAGTGTTTCCATTCAATTGCAGCTTTTGTGTTGACTTTTTCTTTGCTTTTAGCAAAGCTTCTTCAAATCGTGATTCAAATGGTTTAATGAGATTTTCTGTTTTGAGATCATCACGTAGTTCCCAAAGATCTTTAGTAGTTAAATCTTTTCTCCATCCTAAAATAGCCATTTCATTGAACCACCAAAAAGTCAACTGATTGAGAAATGAAGCTCGATATTCTGGACTGATTTTCTTTTTATGCTCTTGTTCTTGTTTAGTGGATAGTTCGTGGTCTTCTGGGGAGGCAACGGCGTCAGCAAATGATGTGACAATAAAAAGAAGAGCGATAACAATAAAATAAACATTGAATAATACTATTTCTGATGAGGTATATTCTGCAGCATCAACCCAGGTTTGATAATTTATAAGAAATGTGCAAAGTGCTTGTAAAAACATATAGATCCATATCACAGGACTAGTATGTATACCACGAAGTCGTTGATAGTACAAGAAAAGAGTAACCAAAGTCTAGAATAAAAAGAAAACAAAAATTAGTCTAGGAATAACATGAAAAGCTAAAATAAAATTGTATCAATCAAGTAAGCTATTTTAAGTGTCATTAAAATTTATCTCAATCAGCGCAGCTATGATCCATTAACAAGTATGAATTAAGTGCAAGCATTTTGAATCTGTTTTTACTAAGTGATTACTGTGACAACAGAAGAATAATCAAGAAGTTGTCAGAAAAAGCATGCACATAGAAATTTATATGAATTTGAGTAAATTGAGAAATATGATAATACTTATCTCACTTGAGTGCAGATCAATCAAAGAAAAGAATCATGAAAATTGACCTTCTATGAAACATATTTTAGTGTTTTTGAATCAAATCAAGAAGCTCAACTTATCTGACTAAAAATCAGATCAAAAGATTCTAGCTTGACCGCTTGTTAAATACTAATTCTCCATTTTTCAGAATAATTTTGACCACAAATATTATAAATAACTTACAAAAGAAGAAATGTTATGATTTGATTAAAGTACAACTATGGTATTCAAGAAGCTTTTGGTACTCAAAAGCTACCATAATGATCACACTGAATTAGAAAGTAATGATTATTATATGCTAATAAACACCACAAATCTATATTGAATGTAGACTGCTTCTTGAAATTGTACAATAAAACAGTAAATTGAAATATTGCAATCAATTAAAAGTTGAAGTAGAGAAATATATCTGCACTGAGTTTGGTAAGTACTTTGTAACATTTTAAACGGAAAAAAATTATCTCAACTTACAAAAGAAGCAATGTTAAGCAATGGTGCATAAAAATCAGATGGAGTCGGTTGATCTGATGAGTTGAAGTATCGATAGATGATGTTGAATAATTGTAAAGTATTAATAAGTATACAAGAAAGGGATAAAATTAAACGAGAACGATTCTGTTTATTCCAAGGAATCGGTTTCTTTTTTATCCTAGCAGTTCTTGTGAGTTCGTAGACGGAGAATAGCCATAAAAATGTTGTGGGTAACCAGTTAAGTATTGTTTGATGGAAACAACGAGTCAATTTGGGAGCTGTCGAGTTCCATGATAAATTGTAATCCTGTTATCCAATCATTGCCGGTTGTAAATGTACATGTAAAGACAAAAGAAAACAATGAAAATATAGTCTAAATACAGAAGCAGAAAGAGTAAACATAACAGATCAAAATTCTTGGCCCTTTGCCAATGTTTTGGCAAATGAGTAAGGTTAAGTATAATAATAAATTACAAGGTTACAATAATTTTAAAAATATCAAGACTAGAACAAACATTATTTTCTCAATATCGATTTTCGACTGCGTGACAGTTCGAAAAATGTATAAAGATAAACAAGTCGCAAGATTTCCAGCAATTTTGTTAAATCTTACAGGTTTATTTCAATGCGGCATTGCATTATGTAACAAAGGAAAAAAATTTAAAAAAGAGGTAAAGAAAGATCCGAGTTTACATGAACTTACCCAAAAAGGTGAATCACCACAAAGAGATTCAAGGTAGACTTGTTTATGGTCCATAATAGATTAACATGAAAGGATTTGGTTTGATAAATAATTTACGATTGATCCAAGTTTTGATTGTCAACTTAATTGTGAATAACTTCTCAACACAAAACAATCAACACAAACTAATGAGAAAAACTAGATTGAAAAAAAACTGAAATGAGCTTTTAATCGAGCTCCAGACTAACAGATTTGTTTCTGAGAAAAAAAAAGAAAACAAATATTACAGTGCAATACTACAAGCGCCATCTAGCGATCACCCAAAAATATACCGGTAAAAAGCATGTTATGCTTGTTGATGAATTGAATGTAAACACGAACGCGAACTCAACTTTTGAAGGTGACTACGAAATTACTTGAAATATGATGAGTAGAGAATAGAAATCAATTGAATTGTCAGGTAAGTAAAAGGTAATCGATTTGGTTAACAATTCAGTTACCATGGTTAGTACAAAATTTATGTTAAATAATAAACTGAAAGTAACCCTGCAAGTCTAACAATCTTTACTTACTAACCTTGAAAGTTTCTTGTCCTTCTCAATTCAACTATTTCTCTTGACTTTCAACTAATGATCGTTTATTTAACTTTTCAATAATTTCATAGATAATTACAGTGTTGACTCTTGCCAGTGTAAAAAATGTCTCTTTTGTTCGCTTTGGTGAGGCTTCATCAATGTTTCAATGACTATTCAACAACACCAAACAAGGTAGGTTTTTGAGGGAAAAATATTCTGAAGTGATTGTAAATGATGAAATGTCCTGACTTTATTAGTCTCTAATTGATCGTTGATAATATGTTACAGCACTTGAATGAACAGAAAATAATGTAATTAGAGCTTGCTTCAATTAACACTATTTTGCTGGAGACTCATATTACACATGTACTTGATCGAATCAAGCTTAACTTGATTTTTCTTGTTGGTTTCACTCAATCTGGTTTCAAAATGATCTCTCATTTAATCTTGTCTTATTCTTTTATAGTGACAGTCAGGCCACTTGACTTAGGCATTGCCATTGATACTATCCATTGTGCCATCAACACCAGGCCTACGACAACCAGTGATTGCAGGTCAAAGATTAACCGGAAGAAATCTTGAGAATTGGATCGATAATGGAACTTGGTCAACCCATTTTAACCAATTATCTGGAGCGAGATAAAGATAAGATTCAAGTAATATTGAAATGCACCAACAAGATGTCAAAGCAATGAGAGATAATCATAATTGAAGTGTTTTCTATTTTTTGATTGACTGGTAAAGATTTGATCATTTTCATCAATCGTAAAGATGATGATTCGAGTAATTATAATCTGGTAACAAATCATACATTTTAATCATCAGACCATCCCATCTTAACTTTGATTTCTTTGGATGTGTAAGGACAATTGTTGAATATCCGAATCCAATCAAGGTAAATTTCACTTATCTATTAACTTATTGATTACTTATTAACAGGAAACAGAATAGATTAGAGTCAGTGTTGAAGCTAATTATCCTAATTTGATCATTAGATTAGAGGTAGGTTCATAGATGAACCTTTTAAGATCCATGAAAAATATGCCAGACATGATTGACAAACGATCTACAATAACAAAGAAGAAAGCACAAACATCATTTCTTTTAATAACATCTTGAAACATTATCTTGAGTATTTACTTCCAACTGAAATCTTAAACATTTCTCAATTGGTAATTCGAATCTTCACGATAATTATAATTATTATTATTTGTACAATTGTAATCAGATTCTGAAAGTATAGAAAGTATAAAATAAAAGGTAGCAAGTGTTGGAAAATTTAGTTTGCAAGTCATCTTTAGACAAATCGCTTTACCATAGTTTTTTGTTTCTCCTTCATTCATCATTCCGCTATTACAATGAGATCTTTAATTATCATTTGTGCTATTCTGTTCACTGTTCAAAATGTTTCAACTTATCCCAAAGGTTTGTAACATTAATAGACATTTATCTAGACTTCATTTACTAATCAACCTTTGTTTTAATTTATTTAGGTTTAACTGTGTCAAATCCGGCGCCAGTTGTAGCTCCAGCTGTAAGCAATGCAACCAAGTTGAATCTTTCAGTAACACCACCGCCACCATCTCAACCTAAGCTCCGTTCTTCAGCTTCTAGCTCCTCTGTTTCAACAAACGCAGCCAGTTCTGATACTACCTCATGTACTTATCGCCGACAAATGGAAACAAATTCAAACACCCGACTTCCTGGACGATTGATCCCTGAATGTCGACCTGATGGAAAGTTTGCTTCTCTTCAGTGTCACGGTGAAGCTGTTGGTGGTGGTCGATTCTGTCAATGTTGGGACCCTGAAGGTAACATTATTCGAGCTCCTTCCAAGAAAATCAAAGCCTGTGATTGTATTCTTCAACGACACCAAATCACCAGCGAAAAACCTAAACGTAAGTTTATTCACATGTTTTTGATACATTTCAAGCTAACTCGTTTCTCTGTATGATTAGGAGTCGGTCATTTTACCCCTCAATGCGAGGAAAATGGTCACTTTAAGAAATACCAATGTCATGCATCAACTGGACACTGTTGGTGTGTACATCCTACCAATGGAACCCAAATTGGTGAGAAATCTCGAACACTTACTGCTGAAGGTTGCGTCTGATTGAATCGATTATCTGAAGTACCACTCTAAATCAATTACAACTGCCAGCACTAAATGTTTTATTGCCCCAAGTATTAGTGTGCCACCGCTTATTGGCCAGTGAGTGAAACTTAGGTTCAATTTTTCAAATAAACATAGCTTTCACTATTGGCTTCCAAGGCCAGTTGCTATTGATTCTGATGCACTCTAATATTGATACACTTTCTGTAAATTATGCTTAATCATTTCAATAAAACAGAAAATTGCATTTAAATAAAAAAACTGATATTTTTGTCGAAACCTTCTTGTAAATTTTAGAGGTTCACAGTTTCATCAATCCTTCATTTGAAATCAAAAGCTGATTATCTTAATGAGCAAATAATTAATTGCCATTTTATAATAAAAATAAAAAGGTTAATCATTCAAATTCAAACTACGTTATCATTTTTATTTTGGTGAGTAAAATGGATTTAAATTTTGACACATTTTTCCAAAACAATGAGGTAAAGGGTTATTTATACATATGTTATATAATATTCATGTTAAATTATAAAATACGAGATAGAAATCTATTCAATTTTAGGTCAATTGACAGTGTTAATTTCAATTTCCATGTTTAATGGTTCTATCCCAGTTTACGATAACGCCTATGTATGAAAGTCGGAAGAATTAGGTTCAAATAGAAAATAAGCAGAAATTTTAATATCTAACCCACACTTGAATCGATGTTCAACCAAATCAACGACTTTTCATCAAACTCAGCATTATGAATTAGGACTATCTTAAATTTTCAGAATATTGCTCAGACTGGTTTGTCTTCTCAATAGGTTTTGAACCAGGTGGAACAATTTTATTTCAAGTTACATTCGACAGAAGTTGAAAATTTTATCCTCAATAGGACCAATCTACTCAATACCTCAATAAATTAGACATAATAAACGCCAGAACTTAATCTTAAAAACGATAAACGAAAACGAAGTTAAACAAATTCAATTTGAGCTGATTCATCAATCGATTTTTATTTGTAAAAATTGCTTGAAACGACTTGTTACGTATGTTGAGATCGATTCCGTTAAAACATATAGTTTTCAAATCAGATGAGAGATGGCGCGGTCGGCAATTTTCCGGCTCGATATTTGGATGAAAAAATTAAAAGATCGTCAACAAGATCAACTGGATAGAAGATCGATAATGAGAACGGTTTTGAGGCCATCAGAATCAGATTTAACAGTAGCATTATCAGCTGGTGACTGTGTAAATTTAAATGACCTTACTGCTATAACATTCGCGCTTGAAAAAAGATTTGCTCATGTTTATATTTACTGAAAATTTCAGAGCTCTTTGCATAGCAAATGGATAAATCATTTGGTTTAGCCTGAAATTGAATAACTTTCTCCATGTTCCATATTTTAAACATGAATATTATATAACATGTGTATAAATAACCTTTTACATCATTTTTTTGTGAAAATTTGTCAAAATTTAAATCCATATTACTCATCATATAAAAATGATAACGCACTTATGTAAAATATACCGTTTGAATTTAAATGATTAACCTTTTTATTTTTAATTTGTTTTATTATAAAATGACAATTAATTATCTGATCATTATTTTTATAATTATAATCAGCTTTCCATCTCAAATGAAGGATTGATAAAACTGTGGACTTCTGTACTTGAATTAAATTTGAGATCATTACTTGAAGTTTCCTGTTCATTTCGTAGTTCATTTTGTGGCTGTTGAGCATCAGTAGTGATAATTGTATTAGGATTGTTATTGGAACCTTTTGAAAGTTCAGTTGAATCAATTATAAATGAAAGCGATGCTGAACTGGACAACGGAGGAAATGAAAATGATTTTGATGAGACATTTGAAGAACCTCTGTCCATTTGTGAAGCCTTGATTGCAGAAAGATACAATTTACGAGTTATTTTTAGATAAGTGGTAGTTTGAATAATTTCAACGGTAAAATCAGGTTTGTAAACAAATGCTGATTCCAATTGTTCATTTGTTGATGTTGTTGAACTTGGTAAAATTTTCAATGCATCCGATCCAAATGAAGTAAATGGTCCACCATAGAAAGTCAATTGCTCTTTACCAGCCGTCACTTGAACACGTCCTTCCAATATCATAACAAAATAATCCGCAGGCTTGTCTCGGGTGTAGATTTGGATGCGAGGCTCTAAAAATAAAACGGAAAATAATAAGTATGAGATTGAGATTGTATAATGCAAAGTAAAATTGAAATAAAAGCTTACCTGGATCATCTCTCTCAGGGTCGTAAACGTGATGGAAATAGATTCTTTGACTTAGAAGACGACGTAAAATTGTTTCAGTGATAAACTGATTAGCGAAAGGAGAGCACGATGAGGATAAAAATTGATAAGTTGCTAGGATCATCTGTGGTGAAATGGCAGTATTATCTTGACAGTGTCTCAAAGATGAAAAGACTGAATTGTCTCGTTCAGATGGACGGAAACGGCGCTGTTTTAAACGATTATCGGTATACACATCAGTTTCATCCACAATTTCAGTTTGTAAAATTTCCTCAATAACATCTTCCAATGTTACTACACCAACAACCTCATAATATGGATCTGTATGATCATCATCATCAAAGAGTCGACGAACAAATGATAAATGTGATTTTCCCTCTTTGAAAGCAGCCAGTGCAATGTCCAGTGTTGTATCTTCCCAGGTATAAATCAGAGGATGACGATAATATTCAATTAGAGTAGTTAATGGCATGTTATCATCAGGATCAACAAAGGCCAAATCTTTAACGTACAAAAGACCAACAATGTTTTTCCTATCATCCTTGTAAATGGGTATTCTTGAGTAACCAGATTTTTCAATACGAGAGACTGTATCAAAGTCAAGACGAGTGGCCAAGGGAAGCATGAAAACGTCTTCAAGGCAGGTCATTATAAGGCCAACAGTCTTCTTTTTCAGTTCCAAAGCTCCAGATATAATGTTAACCTCAGCTGGTTCCAATTGTGAATAATCTCGAGTTATCCTAATGAATTCCATAAGACGTTCCCGATCATAAACTTGGCCAATTTCATCACCCAATGCATAGTCTAAAATCTTTGAAATGGGCCAAGAAAGTGGAGCTGTTAAAGCCATGAATAGATATGTTATCCAAATTGTTTTAGCTCCAACGGCAAGACCATGGCGTGAGCATATAGCTTGAGGTACAATGTCACCAATAATAACAATAAGTATAGTTGATATGGCAATTGCCAGTATACCACTGGTAAGTTGATCAAGAAGAACAGTTAGAGTTGAATTGATGGCCACATTTGACAATAAAATGGTACACAGAAGAAAGTTGCCTCGACGACGAAGTGGCTCAATGGTTTTGGCATAACGTTTTTCATCATCATCACCCTTTAAAGCAATCACTTTGAGCTCATTTTTATCCAAAGACATTAAACCCAAATTTAAACCAGCAAATAATCCAGTTAAACAGAGTAGTACACATATGAGTGTAATTTGTAAACCAAGGGGAAGCAGACGTCCAGTTATTTGAATAGTCAGGTAAGGCTCGGTTCCTTGGTGAATCCAGTCTCCAGGTTTAATGACTGTTGACCGTTGAGATGAAGGATCATCACGGAAAACGACAGTGTAATTACTCTGTATCGGTTGTTCAGTTTCATCTTGATACTCTTCATTTCCCTGTCCTTTGGTAAACAAAGAAAGAGCTTTTCCTTTGATTTTGAACTTTGAATCAGATTGTGTAACTGTGTTCTCGCCATCAACACTACCTTGTGACTTTTTTTGTAAACTTTTAGGCTTCAACTTTGCCTGACCAGGGCCAACATTTTTAGCACATAAATACAGAGTATCGGTAGATTTGGGTTCTTTTATAGTAATCAAGGCCATTGTAGAGGTCAAATAAGTTGCTTGCATGGTTTCAAAACGGGATAAATCATTACAATTGGTGTTGGCGGGTGAAGCTACTCGGGTCAATGCAATTAATGTATCATTAGTAAAATTGGTTCCAAAAAGTCTGATTGAAGTTTTGGTGTCTGCATAGATGATGTTGACTCCAAGAGAGTCGACTGAAGCTCGATCATTTTCAACATGAATACCAGTAATAAAAGGTCCCAATGGTATTGAATTGGTGGACACATCAGGCGAGTAAAAGCGTAAAACAGATTCAGACGCAATTGAATTAACAGGTGATTTGGATGATACTTTAAACTTTTTACTATGACTTGGCAATGAAGATGAAAATAGTGATTTGTGTAATGAATTGGATTCACATGAGGTTAAAGGTAATTGAAAACAAATTACTAACACTGTTAGGAAAATATAAAGGTTAGTTGAGATGAAAAGATTAAAATTGAAATATTTAGAAACATTATTAATGACATTAATCATATTAAAAGTGACAATATGATGTATGAAAACAGTGAATATGATGATGAATCAAGATGAGATGAGAGATTGATGTTGGATGCCAGTGTTAGGCACTAAGAAAAACAATCAAGTTAGATTGGAATTAGTAAACAGACTAAATAATAATAATAATGGAATCATTTTTTCCACTCAATTGTGCTTCATCTACTAATCAATTTTTTTTGTTTTGTATTTGCTTATCCTCTTTCTATCCCCTTCTCATCCATACCAATCTGATGATCATCATCAGTCTTCTGTGTGTGTGTTTTATCATATAATAATGATTCAATGATTTGCCTTTACCATCCAATGTAACCCCAAACACAAGTAACAAGTCAATTGATTATCAATTGAAAAATAAATACTTGTGATTAAGATAGACAAATCGTTTTCATTTGAAGATGCTATTCTCACCGCAATTATCTTAATCATAATCTGGTGTAATCTACTTTGCTCATCGATTGTCCCATCACCAGTTATAACCTAACCAATTGTACATTTTGTATCAAAATGAACTTCAATTGGAATGCACTTTCAAATCAATTAACCGACGGATTGACCTTTACAGCTTTCAACTCAACCTAACCAAGTTAACCATTTACATGTTTATATTTATGAGAGATGTTTTGATAAAATGATGATGATTCATGATCATTCATTCAGGAAGAGTGTCAATGATGGCATGATAGATTCCTGTTCTAATCTTATTGATGATTACATGAACTTGGTATTTAACCTGACTATCAAACCATTTGCATTGAACAATACAAATTGGTATTCCAGTGTTGTTTAGTTGTTTGTGAATCAGTTGATGACTAACAATGAATTATCAGTAACATTATTGGTGTTTTTATTTTCATCAAATTCTCAATTCTATCTTTCATTTAACACCCTTAGTGCTACTGTTTGGTGTGAACCCAAATCGTGTTATTGAAATACATGGAAAAGTGAAAGATTTATAAAGCAATAGTAAACTGATTCAGGTTGGATCAGTTGTAAACATGTAAGATTAACATTCAAGGTTAGAAGTAAGATTATATTAACAATGGATTAAGTTATTTGGTTAATTAATAGTTTATTAATAATAATTTTAATTGCTCAGAAAATTTGGTTCCGCATAATTTGTATAAGATTAGACTTGTGGAGGCTTGATAGGCAGCAAGATCAAGCCTTCAGTTTTTAGTATCATTTTTGTTTCAATGCGATCAGCTTAACTTGATTTCTTACAAGGATAATTTTCTTGCTTTTAAAGGTAACCTTAAATGATTTCAGCCATTATTGCTCGTATTAAAGGCAGATTAAACATAAAAGGAGTAAAGGCAAGGAATGTCGAGTTAAGAGTCGAGACGTGGTGAACTGGAAACATGAAAATAATAACAAAGAGCCTGAATTTTTCACTGACAGAAATAGTATGTGAGCACCGGAAATCCAATGATTTTTTTAATCCGTCGATGGTTCTCTTGACTTTATCGCAAAATAAGTGATTTTCTGGTTGACCGTCAAAAGTTACATCAGACCAATGAGTTAGATGAAAAAAAGTAAGAGTAGCATACTAATGTACGCTTTTGGGGTAGGCTGTTAGTACTGGAACGAAATCATTGGATTCAATGTTGAAATCGAGAAAAGGTTTGAATATTCATTATAATTTCATGAATTTGTTTTATTATACCAAATAATTTAAAGGCTGTGAGAACTATCTTAACATTGCTAGTAATTGCTAGGCTGTTGGCCTTATAATGACCTGCCTTGAAGACGTTTATCAGCTTCCCTTTGCCACTAGTCTTGACTTTGATACAGATCCTGAATTCAATGGAAACATTAAGTCATTATCAGCCTATTATTGACAAATGTCAAGAGAAATTACATCTTTAGCAATCTGAAGTGACTACATGCTATCATATGCTACACTCAATAAGTTTTATCAATTTTCAAGATTTCGTTGAAATAATGACTGCATTATGTTTCTTATACACCAGATGGCGCATCATACATTCAAACACTCAATGAGCAACTTTAATAACTTTGGTTGTTTTTGTTTTGTTTTGTTTAACATTTAAATTGAAATAAGAGACATTGAATTTTGTTCAACCAATTTCGAGGGCCTCTAATAAAGTCTCGGAATCAATTTAACACAATAATTAACGGCTTTTTGCAGGGATATTAAAAATTGAAAAAGTTTTGAGGTCGGCCTCTTGTATAATTAATTTCAAATATTTGTCTTTGATGAAAGCAAAATATTTTTGAATAACAATGTTTTTCAAGAAATTATATTTAATGTTGTCCAAGGCTTGATATCGCCGTCCCAACCGATTATCTCTTCAAACGGTAGATCTGGTGCTTTAGAAAATTGAATTTTTAAATCTTCATGGCAAGACAAGATTATCAGCTTAAAAAGCCATATTTTTCAATAAAAGTTATGTATTCATTTAGTACCGGATTCTTGCTATTCAAATGTTCTTGGAAGTAACGATTTATCATTTTCATTATTTTTTGGTCATACTTCAGCTGGATGCAATTTCCTGGCGAGGTCAAAATAAGAGAAGAGAAAGATGAGGGTCAGAGAGAGATTCGATCCCAGGGCTTCTGGATGATAGTCAGTACGTTTTTCCACTTGGCTTAGCGCCTTTAAAGCTGATGGCTAGGTGCGAAAAAAGATTTCCCTCTCTATTGAAAATTGCCTGAAAACTCGGTTATCGGATAATATTTTAAAATTTGGGTTGACTTGTGACTTTAAAATCACAAAATAAGAACCGATATAACAAAATTCCATTTTCTATTCTGTCTTATATTTGAATGAAAAAGGCAAAAACGGTTCTTGCTTTTAACTGTGACTTACAGAGGAAATTTACAGTTACTAGTTCGATCCATCAATACTTAATAAAATCGAGTGAAATAAAAAAGTGAAATTAATTGGAAACCATTTCACTGAGTTTTCAATGAATAGCGGTTTCCATCAACAATTTTCATCTGATAAAATGCTAAAAATTGACTAACAATTAAAACTCATGAAAGGTTCTCAGCAAGACATTGAGTCTTATTTTTCATTATTTTTATCAACTAGATTGTTCTCTCATCTTTTTAATGTCATTTTTTATCACACTAATTAATCTGGTTAATCACAATAAAATGATTTTCCCATCAGAAGGTGCACAACAAGTTCAAAAACAGGTGAACATTAGTTATTATTAAACCAAAATGGACTGATGATTGTTGACAAAAATAACCTTTATCAAATGACCCAAAGCTGACTCTGTTAACAGCTACAATTTAAAGTGATAAATTGCGCAAATCAACAATAAACAATTTGAATCGGCAAAAAGCGACATTTAAACTTGAAAAAAGGGGTTAAAATGAGTTGAAATTAGTGCAAATTAATTCAACACTTTACTATTTCTTTATGCAATTGAAGTTGTTTTTCTGATGAAATGTATTTTCACTCAAAATTAACTTAAACGCTAACAATTACAATCTAATGACAATATCAATTGATATTCCAATTGAACTGGACAAACTGAACAACAGAATTATCGATAAAACTTTTCCTTCTCAACTAAATTGTAACAGGTTTCCATTGAATAGTAAAGATCCATTTTAATGAAAGTGTAACAATAGAAAGGTCAAGATTAATCACGATGGACAATAGATTATGAATAATACTGAACAGTCTATTATCGATATCGATTGCTATCATTAGTAATCATGATAATTACCCTTCTTTAATTAGATTAAATTATGATTCTAAATTGGATGAAATAATAGTCATTTGGAGTTAATAACAACAATTGAAAGTCGCTGTAAAACTACAATAAATAAACTTGATCCAATTCTTGCTCTTTATTGACAAATCTTTCATTAATTTCAGATGTTGTTGCTCCAAAATAGTGATATTAATTGGTTTCAATCACAATTAACAGCGAAATTGGTGAAAATTTGTTCCAATTGAAATATTGTCCACAATTTGTTATAAGGAAAGTAATCTTAGGATTGAAATGGTGATTTTATTGAAATAACAGTTTGATGTTTAAACTGAATCTTGATGGTTTCTTGGTAAATGGTGATTCTTGGTGATCCCATGAAAAATTAGTGAGAAACTGAGAGTTTAGAAGATTATTTTTACAGTTTTACAGCAATAAATAAAAGCCTAACCCAAGCAATTAAATCTGGTCAATTTAGGTGAAGCTTTGGCTTGTTTGGGTTATCATTTGGTGAAAGGCTAAACTTACCCGTTGCTGGTCTGTAAGATGAACCAGTCTCAATGTCACTTGAAACACTGGAATATTTGAAGCAACAGTTTGATCAGAATTTCATTTTATTTTCGATGTTAATATAAAAATCTATTTCTGTTACTGCTTTGTAACTAACATTGTTACTTGACATCAATTTTGACACCAAATGAAAAGAAATTGGAATTGAAAGAAATCTTTTCACGGTTTTTTCATGTAAATCAAAGATCACTAATGAATGGTCAATACGTTTAACAAAAGATGAAAATGTAATGAGCTGATGAACACGTTTATTAACAGATTAGTTGATAATGAAAATTTGCGTTTCATCTCAATGTGAGCTTAATCTGGTAAATTTATTCTTAATCTTTAACTTATACAATATTAAAGGTTGCGCTTACAATTTGCGGTATTTTTACACGACAAGCCCGTTGTAGGCTCAAGAACAGGAAAAAGTTGACCTGAAACAACTATGTTTGACCAAGAGCCTTAAAAGTCTAATGAGAACGTAAATTCACTTTCACTTGGCACACTCTTCCTGAATGTTGTTGATGAGGTTGTTATTGATGGTGATGGCGATGATGGAAAGAGAAGGTAAAATTGACTGTTCGTTAATCAAAAAACCAATGTAAACATTAAAATTGAAGGCCTGAATTTGGCCTGATCTTGTCTAATCTACAACAAGTATTGAGTTACCAATTTTTTTCCGGTTCAAAGCTGGACAAGATTCACTGAAGGAGGGCTTCGCGATACTCTCATGCTTCCGATTTATTCAACTATTCAACTGAGTTTACCATTAAATATATTATTGGTGATCATCAGGGATTCAACGATTGACTTGCAATCAATGTTGAGATTATTCATCTTGTCGTAAAAAACTCGTGTAATGTTTTCAACTGTTGACTTGAGATGCTTCAAGCTGGTTAAATCAACTAACCAAATCAACTGGTGAGAGATGGATATTGAATAATCAATTAAACAATCAATGTAATCACATTGAAGGCGTTCAACAGTATTGTCCAAATCAAGATTTCAATAAAATTACATTAATTGTTCAAATGTAACCAGCAAGTTCAATGTTTCAACCTTTTCATCATCTTATTAACCCGATAATAATTTAAATTTTAACCTTTTTTTCCACTCAATTTCATTCCATTTCTCATCTTTACATTTCAATCAATTCCAATCACAATCGATAAATCAATAACTTCAAACTATCATTAAAATTAACCTTAAAATAATGTCCATTGATTAACATGGAAATGACAAAATGTTAAGGTTAATTTGTTAGCCGTAATTCACATATTGAAAGATATAATTAATGGCTTTAAATGGTTGATCAGGGACAAGATGATGGTCATCATTTCCTATTATTTAACAGGCAAGAGTCAGCATTGAAATTCAGATTCAATGAAATCGACAAATTAACAGCAAAAAAGAAGAAAAAAATTAAACATAATTGTGAACAATTAAAAGGTAATTTTTCACCTTAAAGTGAAACCCAAAAGTGAACCCAATCTTTGGTAATAATTAATACCAATTAAATCCATTGTCAGTGAAACCCGAGTGGCCAAGGGAAGCATGAAAACGCCTTCAAGGCAGGTCATTATAAGGCCAACAGTCTTCTTTTTCAGTTCCAAAGCTCCAGATATAATGTTAACCTCAGCTGGTTCCAATTGTGAATAATCTCGAGTTATCCTAATGAACTCCATAAGACGTTCCCGATCATAAACTTGTCCAATTTCATCGCCCAATGCATAGTCTAAAATCTTTGAAATGGGCCAAGAAAGTGGAGCTGTTAAAGCCATGAATAGATATGTTATCCAGATTGTTTTAGCTCCAACGGCAAGACCATGGCGTGAGCATATAGTTTGAGGCACGATATCACCAATAATAACAATAAGTATAGTTGATATGGCAATTGCCAGTATACCACTGGTAAGTTGATCAAGAAGAACAGTTAAAGTTGAATTGATGGCCACATTTGACAATAAAATGGTACACAGAGGAAAGTTGCCTCGACGACGAAGTGGCTCAATGGTTTTGGCATAACGCTTTTCATCTTCATCACCCTTCAAAGCAATCACTTTGAGCTCATTTTTATCCAAAGACATTAAACCCAAATTTAAACCAGCAAATAATCCAGTTAAACAGAGTAGTACACATATGAGTGTAATTTGTAAACCAAGGGGAAGCAGACGTCCAGTTATTTGAATAGTCAGGTAAGGCTCGGTTCCTTGGTGAATCCAGTCTCCAGGTTTAATGACTGTTGACCGTTGAGATGAAGGATCATCACGGAAAACGACAGTGTAATTACTCTGAATCGGTTGTTCAGGTTCATCTTGATACTCTTTATTTCCCTGTCCTTTGGTAAACAAAGAAAGAGCTTTTCCTTTGATTTTGAACTTTGAATCAGATTGTGTAACTGTGTTCTCGCCATCAACACTACCTTGTGACTTTTTTTGTAAACTTTTAGGCTTCAACTTTGC